ACCACGGCGAAATTGTACCAGTTGTTTCTATCTGCTGTTCAATTTGTTGTAGCTGCACGTCCCGGTATACAGATTTGGCAAAACCATTAGGAAAGTCCGTTATTATCATTTTAAAATGAATGTTGTGAATTATATGCCACACAGTTAGATTGGCAAAATGTATTGCAGAGGTTTGTGAAAGCAACTTAAGAATTTCAGGTAAATATTTTTTAATCAGGTAAATTTGTAGTCCACACCCACCCCCCCCCGAAAAGGTTTGCCTCGCGACGGCCCTGCACAACCTCTTCGAAAAATTCTCACTTGCTGAATTTGGGGTTAATAAAGTGGCAGCAGGCAGCCAAGAAAATTATGGCATTGGATATGAAGATCCTATCACGCGGACAGCAGTAGATAATTCAAAAATGCTTTTGAACAGGCAAGACCTTTTTTAACATACTAACTAGGGGAACAATTGCCCCTCCAGCCCCAGTGATTTTTCATTGTTTTGAACAGTAGGCCATTGTTCTCTCCTTTACATAGGCTCCTTCGCAGCTAATTTTCCATTAGAAAAGGTCACCTGAGGAGGATGTTTTCCAGAACTGCCTGTTAATTGAGCACTGAAATATGGTTCATTTGCATTACCGTTATCTCAACGATATTGTGTTATTCTGATCTTCAGTGCCTGATTCATATGTCATACTATTTAGCATTTTATTGATTTCGTAGTATTCGTTCTTATACCAGGTATTGCCATTCTTTCAATTGCCTTAAATGGGGCGCCCCATATTTATGCTTGATTCGTTATTGGCCATAAATTCGTGCGTGAAGTCGCGAAATCTCGATTTTTCCTTGAAATATGAGTTTTCCTGGCGTTACGTCCTGAAAAGGCTTTAACTATTCGTGAATTCCTGAATGAAATTTTGAATGATAATTTAAAAAATTGCCTCAATTTAGTGCGTAATAAACCAACAATAGTTAAATCTAAAATTCGTATATTTGAGGTTGAAGATAGTGTTGTAGTCCTTCAAACAAGGCTCTGATGAGCAATAGCTGATATTACATTTATTGTTTGCATGAGCGTGAAAATCCATTTTTGCAGTGCGTGAATGCGTGAAAAGTAAAGAAAATCGTGCGTGAATGGGTGAATCACAACCATTATGTGGAGGCCCCTTAAATAACAGGTTTACTTGTTTGTCTGTTGTCGTGCTGATTCAACTGTAAAGAGCAATGGACTCAGAATCGAGGCTTGCGACTTATATAAACTAATATCATTAAAATTTTAATCTAAAAAATGACATCAAGTTTAAAGTATTTCTCTGTTCATTCTGTTTCGTGATTTCGTTCAAAAAAAGATTTGCTTTCTTACCAATTCTAAATCACCAGATAAAACAGATATTTAAGTAAGATTGGAATATTAAAGGTGAAATTGTATTCCATTTGTTCGTCATTTTTTTAAGTTTCGAAATACTTTGGTTTTTAAGTTTGGTTAAGCCCTCAGTCTCCAAAAGTTTAGGCCTTAAACTGCCAACGTAATTAGTGGCACAATGCCTACTTTTTTGCTATAGTGCTTGTAACTGCTACCAAACATGCCTTGAGTGTGTGTAACCAACCACTAAATAATTATAATCGTTGTTTTCGAAGTAAGTAAATAAGTTGCATATGCAATTTCATTTCTCGCACTGCGTGATGTAACTCGATTCGCGTCACGAAAAGGTTCAAAGTAACCTCTGACCCTCAATATAGAAAAACACACGCTCATAGCATTAAAACAATTAATGGACAGGTTCGCACATGGCCTTTGCAAAGACAGGTAAATTTGAAGAGCTGAAATCTCTCTGTGTGAGCTTGAATTAGTTCTTTTGTCAACTTAAAAAATGGGCTTTAAGTTTTAAAAAATGTGCCACTTTGAACAGAGAGGGTTAAGTAAAGGGTTAAAAAGCATGCGTCTTTCTAAACCCTTATCCACCCTCTTAGTGTCGCCCTGATTTAGTCATTTGAAAATGACTTTAAAATTTCGAATTGGGGGATATTCTGGCGGAAACTTCACTTTTCTAGTGTTTTTAATTGCACACTTACAGTGAAATGATTACGATAAGATTCAAAACGTTAGAGAATCTTTATATGTATTACACGGGATAAGAATATATCTAAAGCTTATCGCGCATTAGTTAAGAAATTTACGGATTGCTTTGTAGAAGAAAGACGCATGCTTGTTCGCGTACCCCGTTCATCAATTACCAGGGGCGGATCCAGTGGGGTGCGAAGGGGGCTCGAGCACCCCTCAGATTTGAGAAAAAACTTTTTGGGGATTAAAGCTTATTCTACCGCAATTTTGTTTATTATTATTTAAACCATTTAAATAATACCGGGAAGTATGCACATCTCCTGAAATCGTTATTTCCGCTTCAATGCCCCGTCTCACAACTGTTCAACATTGTTATTTCAGTCCATGCATTGAAGTGTTATGAAACTCCCCCTGGTTGTCCTGTATAGCATTCTACAGACTCGGAAAGCATTGTCTCCTCTTATATCCAGCCACTTAAGGAACCCGTGGCCTGTAAATTATACGAGTTTCTGCACCCGTGGAAGTGAATCTAGCCAATCACGGTGCCAGGTCGAGGGGTTCTAAACTTTGGCGCGAGAACCCATGGATTTCAAAAATCCAAAACATCAAAGAATACCGACAAACCAGGGGGAGTTTCTTCGCTTCAATCTACAGTCAAATGTATAGTGGTTTTATGACCAGGGGGAGTTGAGCTTGAACAGGGGGAGTTGAGGTTGACCAGGGGGAGTTGAATTATGATACAGCACGCGACGAATGCTTAGGCGCAAATTTGCAATATGTTTTCGTGGATTTTTTGACGATCTTTACCTGATGCTCGATGCTGTAACGGCAGAACTTGTAAACGCTGTGGTTTATATAACAGAACGGTTTCAAGTTTCAACTCCGTGTTTCATGTCTTATTCATAGACCATGAGGTATGATTTATATTCAGAGGATAAAGCTTGCCCGAGCCCTTGTTATTCTTTTTTTAATCATTCAAGAACTACATAAAAAACATCTCAAAAACTTGCCCTTACTATTATTGACCAAAAGGGGTTTCCTTTTTATACCTACTTATATTCCTGCGAATCCTTTTTTCTCTAAGAACTTCAAATACATAAAAATACTCAAAACGCCAGGCCCATAGCGAAACGTTCAGGGCCTTCTTTGTTTGGTTTGAATGCTGTGTTTGAATCCCTGTGTTCAACTTTTGCACTGCACTTCAAGGGCTTCATTCTACCAGCCACGTTATTTTTTTGGTCAAGCTGATCAAGTTCTAATAAATGGCTGCAAAGAGTCAAAAATTAAATTTTGCTTTGAAAATTTGTGGGCTCGGGCCTTTTGCCACTGCGGGCCATCATATCATCTTTGACTACAGTTTCTATACTTTTGTACCCTAAGTGAATATAAGAGGGGCGAGCTGCAAATTGCGTTCAATTGGCATAAAAGCTGATACCAAAAATTACTATATAAATCAAGGCATCCAGGCTTTTTAGTTTATGAAAGGCTTTCATTTCATTATGGCTTATTAGCAGGGGTACGGAGTTTGTGCATAGCAACACCCTGGGTTACCAAGCCTTACGTTTTAGAACCCCTCAGAATAATTTCTAGATCCGCCCCTGATTACTGTCAAGTTGTTTTCTCAAAATTAGTAATGTCATAGCTAAAATGTTTTTTTCGTTGCCCTTAAGCTTTTACTGTTTTAATACCCTTTTAGCCCTCCATCTTTGAGGAAGACCTGGTGGACTGGTCACAACTGCAGGAAAGCCGATAGCTATTATGACGCCAAGTGCAGATACTATACAGAAACACGAAGCATCTCAAAACCTTTTTATAAACAAAATGAAAACCGGGGCTCCTGATAATGAATAATGTCAAATTTTCTTTAAAAATTGGCTTTCAAGGTAAGAGAATTCAATTAAAAAATATTTGAAGCGACAATTTCCCTACTGAACTACAATCCCGGACAAAAATTGCTTTCTCTTTCCTTTAAAAAGTAACCTCCCTTCATTCAATGTTGAATGCATGTTTTTGAAGCACAAAAGATAAAACTACTAATCCAATGTTGATTCTGGGGCGGGAAGGGGGGAATCAAACTTACAGGTGCAACGTCAAGTAGAAATTGCATTTTGTCTCAACAATTCTGTCCGGGGTTGTAGTTCATCCTTCGACTGTCTTTTGCAATCGGGCGGCTATTTCTTCCCGCGAATAGCGAACTGGTCCACTGAAACAGAACACTGCCGCCTAGTACAAGTATAACTAGGGCATTTGTTACTAGGCTACGCATCTTAACACATCTTATGCTATCCCATGGCAATTAGGACAGTGCTAGCAGTGCACCTCATGTTAGTTTGCAATGGGGGTAATATCTTTCGCTTTGGCTGGTTTTTAAAACTGTGATATACTGCTGTTTTGAACGGAACACCAAAAAGGATAATCCTAAATTGAGTTCACCAAGAATAGAATTAGGCCTGTAGTTATATATAATTAAATAAAATGGTTTTACATGACTAGGGCACTTTGTATGTTCTAGAGACCAGAACAGCCTTAGCAGACAGGCCGCGTTTGTCTTCACAAGATCTCCTTTTCGTTTTCTTTTTTCAGCCACACGGGCATGCTAATTACTGAGCAAAAATTAAAAAAAGTGAATAACGACTTTGTACATTTGAAATAAATATAATTTCTTTTTACCTGATAAAGAGTTATGCTCAAAACGTCGAAATTATATTTCCTTCAAGTGAACAAAGTCGTTATTTAATTTTAGTAATTTTGCTCATTATTCATCATCGATGTACAACACGCTGAACTACATTAATAATCATGAATATTACTGACATACAACAGAATCAACTCTATAACTTGACCTGGCTACAGAGGATTTCTTCCAATCACTGGCCTTTGTCCTCGACATGAAGAGTCAAGGACCTGCAGGCCTAAAACACATAGTAGCATGTTTATATTAAAAGCTATTTCTTACCCTTGTGTGACACAGCTGAGACAGAAATGTATTAGCAGCTACATCAACCATCATTCTTCTTTTTGTAGATAGAAAAGATCTGAATCGAAGATAAGTAAGATGTCTTTGCGAACATGCCTTTACAAATACGAATATTCTAAAAAGTATTAAGAAAATGTCTTAGGCGATGTAAATGATCAAACGATAAGCTAGCCAGAAAAATTGATTCAGGATTAAAAAGCTATTCACTAATGCAGTAAGTTGTTAACTTCTAGGCTAAAAAATCTTCACATGTGTGCTATGACACCACTAAGTCATGAACTATAATGCTTAACAAATATTGAAGTTAGAAGTTACCAAGTAGTTAAATTTACTTACAAATTTATTCGGAAACAGTGTTCCTCAAGATGAAATGTTGACGAATGCTGCCAGAAATCACCTTTCTGCCGAAAATCAAAGAAGTAAAGGTCAACGGTCGGTGCTAGTGACCAGTGAAACCAACATCGTGTTTATTGACCGTGTCATAGCTAGCACACGTTTGACCTTTGGTGATCAAGTCGCTTTTTCACTAAAGGGGTCGCTCGGTAACTGGCAGAAAACAATATTTACTCGTAGGCATTGATCAAGGCATTGATCAAGACGAATTCAGGTATCAAATAAAAACTGCAAGAGAGGAATTCATTTTAAGGTTTCGTGTAGCGATCGGGGGTGTCGGTGAAAAGCAATACATTACCGCCATATCGCATGCTGCACGTAAATCTACCTGAGAACGCTGCCTAAGCTCTATTCCTTGTGTTTTGCTTAGCTGCGCACGAAAATTGATTTTCCATTTGTTGATGCTAGATGGATGTTTATCTTTTGAAAAGGTAACTAAAAGGTGTCGCCTTTGATTGTTTTAAAAGAGGTCATAGGACGTCAGAAGGTCAAAAATTGCGCGCCACGCGATGACTGAGCGCCAATGGCTTTCTTTCGAAGGAAGTGCTTGGATTTTATTTCATCCCTAACCAAAAGACTCTTGCTTTTTGAAGCTGCTTCGGTGATCGAGCCAAATTAGTGCAGATGCATAGAAGAATTTTCAGATGAAATCACACGCAGTCAATTTGCTAGGCCCAAATCGAAGTTCGTGTAACACTGACTGAGACAGCAACCGTTTTAAAGAAGACGAATTCATTCCCGAATGGAATTGACCAAATTCCAAGACAGCTGCCTGTGTGGTTCACATTGTTTGGTTGAAATTTTTCTTTGGGAAATCTAAAACTGTCTGCGAGTTACGTTATCAGAATGTATTATCGACAGAAAGATAAAGCAGACGACAATAATAAAAACTTATTTGACCTGAAATAAGGAATCTGGGTATTACAAAAAGTGCATACGTTAGTGTTTTTTTCAACTTGGCAAAAAGTGTCCATTCGAAAAATCTGAAAATCAGTTTTTTTGTCCTAAAAAGATCAATTTTGACTTTAACGGACTATATCTCCGGAAAAAGACGGGTTTTGGTGGCACTTTAGAATATTACGTCATTGGGAGGAGCGTATTTAGATTTTATATTCCAAAATACCTTAGTTTACAAAATTTCAATTTTGGACCTCTCAAAATTGTTTTGATAAATTTTGATCTTTGAAATACTATCTAAGATATCTGAAATTTCAAAATCTGTTCCAAGGAGCACAAAAGGATGAACGATTCCGTTGGAAACCACAATGAAAGACAAATAAATTTTGGTCAGTCGGTTATCATTAGAATATAACCTTGAATTATTTAAAAAGATAATATATTTCTGTAATACCGTGAAAAGTCAAGAAAGCATATATTTAAAGCTATTGGAGCATGTAAGGATGCAAATTCCATAAAATAAAAAACTTATTTCTGCAGAAGTTTTGCTGATTTTTATCATAAATAGCTAAAGTACTTTTTGAGAGAACTATGTTGCAAATATAAGATGATAAAAAGTTTTTAGCAAATGTAGTCATGAATACGTCATATAAAGCTAGAGGACCTTTAACAATGCAATTTTATCTTTTGCCATTGATCGGATTTCAAATTCGATGAAAAAGGCAACAATTTCTAACTTTTAGAATTCATTGATTTCAACGGAATATTTACTTCCTTGGAGCTCCTTTTTTAACAAAATTTCGATTTTACGAGCACGTTATAGCCTTCTACTCTAGTTTAGTAATGTCAAATGATTAAAACCCCAGCCTTGTATGATTTAAAATTCCTAGTTTCATGTTAATGTTTTAAAAGAAAAACTGGAATAACGCATCATCTAAGGCTCCAGAAGAGCTAATTCTTTTGGCAATTTGTTCCAAGTTCATGTTATTATTATATTGAATTCTTTGAAAAGCTCATTTTGGTATTCAAACGAAGGAATACGATTTTAGATGAAAACGGCGGATGGATGCGATTGTTTCTTATGTGTTATTTTTGATTGGAATTACAGCATCTTTGATGGCTCTAAAGGGAATAAATCAATTTGTTTCTGCTCTGATACGTCTTACTAGAACAAAATTTCCCACTCTTGTGATTTCCAATACCGATAATTCTCGTGGGCTGGGTGCTTTTGGTAGAGTTAAATATAACACGTTAAGTGGAAAGTTCTGGCGTGCATATACCGCCAAAAGAAGCTCTTTCTAAAATTTCACCAACTTTCTAAAAGTTTAGTGATCTTCTAAAAGTTCAGTTGTTCTGTCTAGTCTTGAAATTTCAGTCATTTCCAAAGTTTCAACCACCGTTCAACATTTTCTAAAATTTCAATTACTTATTTCAATTAATTTCAATTACTCTGCGAGATTTCTAAAATTTCAGTCATGCTAGGTTAGTTCTAATATTGCAACCATTTCTAAAGTTTGAACCCCCGCTCAACATTTTCTTAAACTTTAATCACTCTAAAGTTTCAGCGGCTTTTCCGAAATTTCAATGGTGAATGTTGATAGCCTTTTCCTGAACTTTGCCAAGCAGCCTCCTTTTCCACCATTTCTCCGAGAAAGTAAGTGCAGGTGGCAGCATGGCTGGCATTATCGCTTCAAAAAATCCATATGCAAAAATGATATGCAAAAAAACTCAAAAAATGAGAAATTTCTAGAAATTTTTTTTTGAGTCTAAACAACCTAAAAAGCTTTAAAATACGTCCGCAACACCATTTGTAGAGTTTCCGATGAATTTCAGGCCCGTACAGATAAAAAATTTGATCTTTCGCAATCAATTCTTATTCTTCTGATCATGTCACAAAGCAAATCAGCAGCGGACCACAGTGGCGGCCTGGCCCTTTTCGCCTGGGGGGGCCAGCATCAAAATGGCGCCCTCTATAACTAACACTGTTGTCTTTTTCCTGAGAATATTGGCAGTACAGGGGCGGTGCCAAGAAATTCAAAGAGGGGGGGGGGGCTCAAATTAATAGCTTTTTTTGACTAAAAAACCAACATTTGGAAGGGCTGGCGAGAGGTTGTCGGAGGCCCTTGGTACAACTCTGAATAAAAGATAAAAGAGGCTTCTTGCGAGCGGAGCCAGCAGAAACTTTTTGCGACCACGCCCTTTAGATTGGCTTGAAATACATTTCAAAATATTTCTTGCAGTCATTTTCTTGAAATTTAAGAAAATGTTGAGCGGGGGTTCAAACTTTAGAAATGGTTGCAATATTAGAACTAACCTAGCATGACTGAAATTTTAGAAATCTCGCAGAGCAAGCGATTGGAATTTTAGAAACGTTGCTTAAGTAATTGAAATTTTAGAAAATGTTGAACGGTGGTTGAAACTTTGGAAATGACTGAAATTTCAAGACTAGACAGAACAACTGAACTTTTAGAAGATCACTAAACTTTTAGAAAGTTGGTGAAATTTTAGAAAGAGCTACTTTTGGCGGTATATGCACGCCATAGAAAGTCTTCCTTATGTGCTCCAATCCAAAAAAAATTTTGCGTCAAGATGTGGGCAACTACTTCCATCACAAGTGTACAAAATTTCATGAAAAGAAGACCACAGGATGAAAAGTTATATCAATTGGAATATTTCAATCATACTACTAGTGGAATATGTCCATCCTTTGGGGCTCCTTATTTCAAACCTACATAGCCTACGATCAGAAACTGCTTTTGGAATCGGGAAAAAAAGCATGGAATATTAAATCTTTCGTTAATATGATGGAACTTGGGTTTTATATGGCAGGTACTTGCTTTGCCACTCGAATCGTGTCTATAAATTTGTTGAATAAAAAGATACTTTTTGCCAAGTTGAAAAAATCACTTTCATGCCTATTCAAATAAAAACGCCACCATTTCTGCGCGTTACGCTCTCGTCTTACATGGCAAGGATAAATTTATAAAACGTAAACAAAACGAATTTTGACAAACCTTTTCAAAGGGAATGATTCGAAATCGCTCCTGTGCAGAGGTAGAACTTCTTTCACTTTGTTTTCATTGCGGTGAGAACGCAGTCTTTTGAAACGTATCTGTGAAGACGAGGCTTTCGTAACCTACACGTCACGATCGCTTTATTGAACTCATCAAAGATTACTGTTTAAAAACAAATTAAACAGCTTTTTTAAACATTTTCTATGGTGACATTGTCGTGTGCCTGTTCACTTAAAAAAGATTATTAGGGAATAGTAATCGATACATAGAACCCACGAAATTCCATTTTGATAAGAGCACACTTTATAAAGAATATCGTGAGAGCATGCCAAACCTCAGGTTTGGAAGAAATTAGAAGAAAAACAAAATGTTTTTGAAAATTTTATCTTATGTTAACATCACAGAATATATTTCATCAGCAAATGAACTGTGCAGCTAATTATGTATTGCAAAACTGAAAATTTAGTGATCCCGTAAACAACTGATAGTATATAGCTGTAGAAAATTCAATGTTGAAAAGGAAAAGTAAAAAGAAAACCCGGACCTCGAATTTCCAGAAAGTAAAAACATCCTGCTTAGCCAAGAATTATCGGCATCTAACAAAAGGGTGTAAAAAATAACTCATAGTTCTTTGTCACTCAGTAAAATATACAGAAAAAAACCCACGTGTAAGAACCTACTTTTTTCAGAGATTGATAAAACAGGTTCTTGTATTATGGGGTACTATTGCCAGTTTAGGCTAAATAGGTTCTTAGTTAGGTTCTTAATTTTTACAGAGCATTTATTTTTTGATTATCAGAAAATAGCATTAAATCTTGTCTGCTCTTTATTCGAAATATCTGATAGTGTACCAATGTTGCTAAAAGTCCACCAAAAATTGATCAATGATACAGTTTCATAATAACAGACTAACAGTTCAGTCTAGCATACATTGTGCATTTTGAGTTTTATTTTGACAATACAATTTTCTGTCACCTTTTTGGCTTTTTGGTACATAAAGTATATAAATTGAAAGGTTAAACCCCACATACAAGAGCCTGTTGTAAATTGCTTGGCTAAACAGATTCTTGTATTTTGGAGTATTAAAAAACAAATTTTTATCAGAAGGTTCCTAAATCCCCAGATTCTTACACGCGGGTTTTACTGTAATTCAACATGTGAACCACTTGAAGCAGCTGAAAAATTAAATATCTGATTTCTTATGATAGCTTAGACGACATTGCAAGTTTTTGCATCTTGTAAGGTGAACAGATTGTTGGTAAAACCTGATCTATTTCGTCCAGTTTTGATAAATTTTTCAAAAAATTTCTTCCCAATCTCTCAAGATCAAAGTAACTAATGTCTAATTATTGAAACTTGTGATTCTTTGCTTGAGAAGTATTTTCGATTTAGGGGTGCTTTATCGGCAAATTTTCAGATATGTCAGCAAATAAAGGATGGCTCACCCACTTTATCGGCAAATGGTATCAGGGCACACACCCCTCCCATCCCCTGTTGCACGGGCGCTAGCGACAGCCCTGTTGGAGAAGGTCCTGTCAGAGAAGGTGCTGCCGGAGAACAACAACAAGTGTGTTCATTAGACATAGAATTTCGCATAATCATCTAGCAACCTACCCACGAATATTAAAATCATAAGATTGAACGCTAATGTTCATTTTCAGCCTTGGTAACATTATGGTAAATGAACGGTATAATTTTTGAAATCCTTTGTAGCAATTGTCATTTGACATCAAATACTGGTCAGGAGTTTTCGAATTGTTTTGTCTGGTTAGCTAAATGTTCTTTTGGGTGTACGCTGGGAGCTGCCTGTTTTGCAAACAACCTAAGGATCGTTCGCACTACGTGGATCCAATAAGACGAGGATAATCTCCACTAAAGATGGTGGTATCAGTAAGCTAGCACTGGATCAGCCTTGCTTAGTTGACTTATCAGAGTAAGTCTCATAAGCAAACTAGTATTTGCAGAAACTAGCTGTCAAATGAATAAGAGGCTACAAAAGAAAGTCACTCTAAAATGAGGCTGCATGACCCAGTAACGTAAGAATCGTTGCCACAGGTTCGAGTTTAATGTTGTAGAAGCTCAAGCAAGCATATTGAAAGTGATCAAAAATATTATCATAAAACCGATGACCTTTGCGCTTGTAGTCTAGAAGATATAAATGTGCTGTCGTCCCCATAAAAGTCCTCTTACAAGTCTCTCTGAGACATTCCTCTCTGTGACAGCCAAACTTACCGAAAAAGCAAAAATGGACCTAGAAATAGTAAATTCACAGGGAAGAACAATTTTCTTCTCTAGTTTTAAATAACCAAAAAGGTTAAGCTTCACACTATTTGTTTGCAAATGTTTTACCTAGTAACATAATGGATTTGCAAACGACAATAGATTTGTAAGTGAGAAGTAAAGCTTAGTGTAGTCGGGAATTCGCGTTTTGCGTTTTTTAGATTTTTAAAAAAAATCACTTCAGCACATTCTATGTGATCTATTTTAATGAATGGAGAGACCAAATTCTGTGAATAATAGCTTAAAAGTACTAGCCATCCAAACTTTGTAATCGTCAGGTACCATCTTCTATCAGAAGGTTAGTTGTCATGGTCATAGATAAAACTTTGTAGAAACCACTAATATAGATTAACTGATAAAATAAATATTAAAACCATACCAACTTTACGCCTAAAGAGATAGATGCGTCTTTTTGGATAAATTAGCCTGTAATTCTCTTAACGTAGAGAAGAAAATTTTCTTGTTTTTTTCGCAGTTCAGAAAGGTATGCAGAAATTAATTGTTATTTAAAACTTAGGTGCGACACAGATATAGGTCATAATGCAAGTATAAGCTAAATAGGTATAAAACTTTAAGATGCGTCTACCAGATCATTCATTGTCAAAGATAGTATTTTGTCAGCTAAAGTAGAAAATGGCATTAGGCCTCAGATAAAATTCATACTAGTATTTGCTGTTGTCCATCTATGAGAGATGCTTTTAAAGTGGTCTCTTTTTCATGGCTGTTTACCAAGGAGAAGCAGAAAACAACTTTTCAAAAAATGCCGCGAATATGTTGGTCTTGGCAACCTCAACCTTAGAATTGCAAAATGGCGCTTTCGAATTTGTCTGGAGATACAATTTCTTTCCTTTTAGATGCGACATCTCTCTGTATTTCATTGCATTATATCCCATAACAGGACAGCCACCTTTACCGCAGGTTTTTCCGCAGCGACCGTCTTGTAAGGCTTCAAAACTCTCGCACGGATACGCAGTAAAGTTACACGAAGTAGCAGAAAGCGACTCAATGAAGTACTGAACGGCACGAATGTGGTGGCACCCAACAGTTTGAAAAAATTTCTCCCTTGAGCGAATATTCCCAATTTCTAAAAGAAAACCAGATCAACTTTTTTACTTTAGTTTTTTAAGGCAAGTTTTGAATGTCTTGGAGGCAAAAAGATTTTAAGGATTCCACAGTTCACAATGTAAAGATGAGTTGTGGGACAGAGTTCGTGAAATTTGCAAAGCACATTTTGAGATAGCCTGCGTCAAAGGCCAAAAACTTCCGTAAAATTTGAGATTGAAACACATCAACAAATACTTGAGCATTCGTTGCTTGATACAAAAGGAAAAACTAAGAATGCTGTCCTGTCAAAATAGCTAGTGACGCAAATGAATGAGCCAGCCAAAATACAATGGCAAGTTCGAAATAAGAAAGAATGATTTAAAAATTACCGTTGAAAAAATTGACAACACCACAACCAGGCTGCGTTGCTCCTCCGTTGGGAAAGAAATCCAAGTGTCCAATCGGTGCATCTATTCCCAGGCCTTTGATATCAGTGTGTATAACATCAACGAAATCAGCATCCGTTCGGTCGAGCCGCACAAACGGATGTGCTCCTTCGTATATTCTAGTGCCATAAGGCAGGTCACCAGGGTCAAGACCTGCCAGAAAAATGATCAGGAAAGCAATTTAGAAATCTGGCAACCCCCGACTTGAAGTCGATTATCTTATAATGATTAAATAGGACTTAATCAGAATTATTTTCTAGAGTGGCACTCGTTCTTTGATTGATTCGCCCTAAGTTAATATTTGTTTGTTTTTCGTTATGGTCTCTTTTGACGTGCCTTTTTACATTTTACTTCCACCTATTCTACAAGAATCACGCAATGCTGTTGAGTCTTTTGTCCGACTGGGGTTTTTTTTGGTTTAGAATACGATGGTTAGCTGTGAGGCTTCATAAAATTTCTGTTCCCTTGGTTGAACTTAGGATTTTTTGGCTCGACATAGCGTAGATCTCACTTTACTTGATGAAGCCTAATTACAAGGGTGCTGTTCGCCGCTTCCCATCACATCCGTTTTCATTTGGCTTCCTTATACGAACATTTGCTTTTCTGGTATAACCCGAATAGGCTCTTTTCAAGCATCATGAAAATCTCTCTTGTCTTCATGCATCTTTTGTGTATTGACATTTTGATGCTTTTAGTTAGGACTAATGCATAGACCTGTAATGGGGAAACTGTACTTTTCTTGTCCATTCCCTCCCCAACATTATTTGTGTTTTGGGTTTTTGTGAAGCTTCCTTTAGTAACCGCTGTGCGCCGATGCACCAACGCCCAACTCGCTCTCGATGATGTGGGAAAAGTAGCCTCGCGACTGACTTCCTGTTGTCTATGACATTTTTGAGGCATTTTTGCCCTACAACTTGTATTGTAACTGTTGTCCTGAGAAAATCGAACATGCACATTTTCTTTGAGTCCAAGACGGTGGGGCTCCCAAGCTCATTGAGAAACTGGTTGTTCGTCTCCCTAGCAAGTACTGCAAAGATTCCCATGTGGTCATTTGCTTGCAATTAGCCTTATTCTACTTATGGTCTTGCAAGTTGGAAATTTTTTTTGTTTATTCATTATAGAATATACGATTTACTACAATGAATGGAGATGATACAGTCCATTCGCGGGAGAGGCCTGATCAGCAATTAGGTGTGATAAGGGCTAGTAGGTCGAACAGGCTGGTTAAGTAGGAGGAGCTTAGCAAGAGTGTATTTAAGCTGGCTCAGATTCAATACGATATTTTTATTAAGCTACTGTCTTTATTTGCTTTATAATCACAGCACATGATTATTTGTCATCCAAACTGTACATACGACCTTTTAAAAGCCATCTTCCTTTCCTAAGGGCAGGATACGAAAAGTGTTCTTATCTTAGTTGTGTTCTAAACTTAGATTCTTGAACGATTTATTTGCTTATGGTTTGTTGGATATTGGATTTTTGAAAAAACACTCTTTTGGGAGGGTTTGAAACAAAGATGCAACAAAGAAATACATATGGCATGAGGAGAGTAGGCGTCCCGCGCAGGGAAATAGGTATTACAAAAAAGCTGGATCTCTTAGCTTAGTCGAGGCAACGGCTTCTTTTTGCAACAAAACTCCGCTATTTTGGCAGATTCTAAATTGCAAATTGTTGCAATGATTGCATGATTTAACATTCTGACGGTTAGTTTTTGAAAAGGGATTTGGCTCAATAGCTCTCTGGAGTTTTTTCGAAGCCTCCTTTTTCTTTACATTACTAAACTGATACTTTTGTATATTGTAATTAAGCTTGGAGCGTAAATGAATTGAATTGAATTGCTTGGCACAGAAGAGTTCAAGATACTCAAGAGCTATAGTAAGGGCATTCAAAGGTCCTTTCCATCGTTCATAAGTAATGGATGATAAACACCTTCAGAAGCTTGGAAATATTCTTGGCTTTCGGTGTACCCCTTATCTTGGCACTAATAAGGGGTACACGGCTAGTACCTCATTCCATTTGGCTGACAATACTTATGTAGCGTTCATTTCTAAATTATCTCTCTATCATTCTAGAAATACAATTACTGCAGTATTCATATGCTTTTCTCACCGAACGACTACCTTCTCTAAACTACATTCCAATGCACTGAGCTCACCTGTGATTCTTCCCAGTTTATAACCATCAGTCTTCACCCTCGTTCCTGCATAACCAGCTACGTGTGCTCCGAGGCTAAAACCAATTATATGAACATATCTATCCTGGATTTTTCTTCCTTTAAGGATGTACTTTAGTAAGTAAGCCAACTGGGCCCCAACAAGACGGGCATTACCCGGTGCTTTGAGCCCGGTGGCACCTTCTCCATAATCCATCACTATGACGTCAGAATTTCCTTTGCCCAATAGCCCTTTTGTCATGTCACGAACCCATGTTTTATCTGAAGACTCTGCAAGAAATAAGGGCAATCCTTGCAGGCTTATTATTATAAACGGGTAAAGAGAAATTGGCAAATTTATGTTTTTGATTAATTCAATTGACATTCTTAAACCATATGCTTAAATAAAGGCTGTTTATACTTTTCTTACATAATGCTGCATAAAGATGTTACGGTGTTGCTTTGACAGGAGGAGTAAAATTTTTTTTTAAAATCCTTGGAAATATCTAATAAAAAAGGCAGCCACACAAGTAATGATTTTCAGAGACGCAACTGTCACTGTTTTTCGGGGGCTTCAACCGCCAAGAAATTATAAAAGTTATTTCATCCCAATGCACAACCCAAGTCACAAAATGATAGATCAGAAACTCGTACCTAAAGCTCCATGAACAATCACCTTCAAGTTTTTGTTTCTCAGAAGCCTTGAAACTGCTCTCAACGTGTGATTACTGAAGTCTTTGAAATGGCGCCTTCGATGTAGGCTGTGGAAGGTGAATGTTGTTCCAACAGCTCGGGGGTGTTTCGGATTTGACATGAGGTAATGATGAAAAGGGGCTTCGTCAGAAAAGCACCCAAACGGTTCATGACAAATGTATTCGCCTGAAATATGTGGAGGAGCATGCGTCAGGTGCAGTTACTGCAATGATGTAATCTATATAACTATATACTGCCAAATAAGGTAATTTCCCATAATTAAAGTCTATTTCTCAATTCCGATAAATATCACTTCATTGTTACCCTTCTAGTTGACATTCTGTTACCTCGGTACATAATACCAAGAAGGTATCTTAGATCAACAATAAAAGCCTGTTGTAGCAAAAAATAAAGACGCCACGCCCCTTTTTAACATTTTAACTAGGGGTGTAACTGCCTATTGCTATAGGTAATGTCATTCTCCTTACATAAACAATTGCCCCCGCAGCTAATTTCCCTTGGAATAGGCTATGTAAGACGCAACGCCACCTTACCTGGAAACAGCACCTTACCCTCAACAACAAGCCTTCTCTCTTTCCCTCGTGATCAAATAAAGGTGGGCGTTTTATTTGTCCACTTTGCTATTGAGGAGCACAATGCCCAATATTTTTGGAAAAAGGAAATGATGTTTGGTACAATTTTTGCTAGCCAGGAGTTATCATTATTGGTATTCATAATTTGTCATTTCTAGACATTATCGTTAGTTGTGTTGGTCTATAACAAAGTCACCGCACCTTTTAAAGCAAATGGTCTAATAATCCTTTGTGGGGCACTTATCACCTAAACAAATATTTACCTCGGGGGAGAATCTACAGTTTATTGTTAGGGGAGTGCATATCCCAAGAAATGCCGAAAAATTGCATTCCTCAGCGATGATTGTTGGCAGTACAAGGTCACCAGACTGCTTTCAGTGTAATCTTGAGCACTTTGGTGGCTTACACAAATAGGTTTTAGACAGTGATCGCTATTCCATACTTTTCCAAACAAACGTTAGTAGAGTTTGGCACACACCCCCTCCCCACTCTTGCCACGCCTCTTGTTCTCCGGTGTTATCTCCACAACATCGAAAAATTATTGTTCAAAAGTAGAGCGTGTCTCACATTGCATTGATTTCATCACCATGTTACTCTAAATACAAACAACTTTATCAATAAAGGTGCGTCAGAATTACAACACTGAACTTTTTGGGTTGCACCCTTCATGATTAGTGGGACTGGCATTACAATATTAAAAATCACACCAATATTAAGCACGAGTATGTGGACTATCTTACTTGTTCTTGCTGACTTTGAACCTTTTTCACAGGGCCGTTGCCAATATTGCTCTTACCCCCCTCCAAAATGCTTTTTGTTTTCAATGAGGAACCCCTTTTATCCTATTGTTCTCAACAAACGAGTCCCCCCCCTATAATTCAATCCATCCACAGTACTGTATTATAAATAGAACCTTATTTTTGGCTTTTTTTCTTTATTTCTGTAATATGGAGTCGCGCACCCCCTGAACCTCAAGCTGCTTTTGGATTTATTATGATGATATTTACGTACTTCGGTGATGATTTCTTGCGTCATGGGATGTAATTTAAAACTCAGCTAAAAATCACTATATCTTTCATATCGGAAGGAAATACTAACCTTTGCATATGAATTATCAAAGAAATAGATCAAACAATCTATGGTGACCTGGACATGTTGTGAATTGAGAAACGTTTTCGATGGTGGATACAGATAAACCGAAATGAGCAAAGGTCAATGGGCCTGCCTGCCTGACAAGGTGATCCAGTTTCATTCGAGAGTCAGATGACTCTAAAATTAATTCTAGATTTGCCTTTCCAAATGTTTATGCTTCTAAAGATTCTTAGATACGTTAGCTGAAATTGCGAATACCATGTTCTATGAAAAACATCAGGTAAAGTAAAAAAACTTACCGGCTGTTAAACTTAAACCAGCGACAACAAAAAGAAACAACACGACCATTTTACCCGCAACTAGCAACACTACTTGGATACGAAGTGGATGTTGTATTTGTCTCGCAGGCAACTGATAAGGTAAAAACCACAAAAAGACCAGAATGATAATAAAATGAATAATCCTTATGTAGGACGAGGCAATTAATTCGACAGGTGTTCGTATGTTACTTTCAGCTTATATTTGAATGGCGGAAGATATACATAAACTTCCGACAAGTTGATAGGAAATGCCATTGATACGGGTATCAAGCACTGATCAGTGGTATCAAACTACAACCTCGAAGGAAATGCTGGATGTGAAAGAGGGACCAGTAATTATCGAGATGAGGCTGCTTAGCTCCATAGTCATACTATGTTAGCACACAACATTTTATGATGATTCCGGGCCTAACACGGCCTAAAATCGGACAAACTGGTATATGGTTTTAGGGCATATAATCAAGAGAATGTTTTCAAAATTCAATGAACAATGCCCATCGAAAATCAAAAGACAACATTTTAGGCTACCCAAAGTTCTAGACGTTCCAACCTTAGAATGTTTAAAATTGGAAGTTTTTAACAAATTCCAGTGAGGTTTTCGAATATGGTCCATCCCAAATAATGAAATTCTTGCAAATCCCCACAGAAAGAGCAGATCGCACGCAATGCCGTGAAGCTAAGCAATTTGTGAACGGCGGCCTCTGATTGGCTCAATGGCCAACATGTAAAAAAACATCTGATTGGGAAAGCAAAATTTACCCTTGCTCGTCTGTATCAAAGAACAGTGTGCATTTCCTGCCTGCTATGGTTTAAACGTCAGAAAGATAGATACGGTGACAAACTCTATATACACTCATATAGGTCTTCTTTATTTGCTCAAAATGTTTTCAAAATGGTATTTATGAAAAAAGTTCCTAAAAGCGGAAGATTGGGTTGGGTCTGAAATCGGGAGAATGAGACCCCGTTTACACTGTCCCGTGCAAGTTTGGAACCGTGACAAAACTGTCGTGGTTCGCCCTTCCGTTTACACTAGCACTGTGGAACCGTGACGATTTTGCTCTGCTATCCGGAACAGTTTTGACCCTGCTTTGAAAGCGAACGAATTTTGTACCGTCACGGTTCCGTTTTTGAACGGGACAGTGTAAACACCTATCCGAGACGATTTTGTCACGGATTCACAAAGAGGTCTTTTGTATGGTTGTTTCAGGTAATCGAGGCTTTGATTGTGGCGTAACTACGTTGTCAAATTCTGAAGAAAAGACGACCACAGAAAAGGCTTGTATTGTTTCCCAGTTCAAGCCTTGATTGGACTTTGCAGTTTTGTAGTCTAAAATAACACTGAAAATTAAAGCCACCTTTTCGCTCGTGCAAGGGAAGTTTTTATCGGCCTTCTTCTCCATTTTATCTCTTAATAAAAATTCGATTGTTGACTTCGGCGGCAAAATAAAAGCCTTGGTTGACAAAATACAGCTTCTTCTAAACAATGTTCTACCATTAAATTAAGGTCGTACCGGTACAGTGTAAACGTAACGGCTAAACGGAACAATTTTGAACCGCGACAGTGTAAACACTTGCGAACCGTAACGGTACAAAATTGTCCCGGGACAGTGTAAACGGGGTCTGAACATTGCAAACTGCACTGTCTTTTTGTTTGGGTTTAAACAAACAGTACACACCGAAAAAAGTTGGCTAGATACACATGCTAACAATTCTAGATATATACCGTTTCAAAATTGGCAAAGATAACTTTCCGTCTCAAAATCCACATGGCATAAGTAACGCGTTGCTATGTTTATCCAAGACAAGGTTGTGATCCATCATAGAGCCAATAATTTTGTCACATGACAGGTGGGAGGAATCTATTTACCTGCGTGCAGATTCTACTTGCAAAATCTTTATCACCCTTTCAATCCTTTTTTAGTGGCAAAGGCTAGTAAAATATGGACTGAACGCTTATTAGAGAGGGTGTCTGGGGGTCCAGAAACCTCAGAACCGTTCAAAATTATTATTATAGAAGCGTGAAACCGCGTGAAAGTAGTTTGTATCACCTTCAGTGTTCATCAATACCACGTTGTCAAGACATTTCCGCCAAAAAACAGTTGCTTTTGCTGTTTTTGCTTGCTTCCCTTCTTATACAAAATGGCATTAATTCACTTTTTGAGCATAATGAATCTTAAAGGACAGATTAACGGTAACAAACTGACACAAACCCAAAAACCGACCCAGGTACAGTCGGCGATCTGTGGCAGAACCGAAATAACGAGCCAAAATGTGAGCAAAACCGCGTAACGGTAAAAGCCAAACACTACTTCTTATTAATCTTGTCGGCTTTTGTTCTGCCAGTTTCTAGTAGCCTGTGCTCCAGACCCCTAACTTTCAAGTTAGGGGGGTCTGGAACACAGGCTAGTTTCTAGAGGTTATGAGGAACTCCTGTTTATCTACTTGTGGAGTCTCTTGAATCAAGCATTTTTCAAGTAGAAGCTAAAACTGTACGCACCTTAGTAATTCGTTTTTCTGCTACTTTTGGAATTGCAACTTAGGAAGGCCGGAGATGGGGCGTGGGGGTCAACCAACCCTGCTGCCTTTTGATAGGAGGGGCAAGGGGGGCAAAGTTCCCTTTTCATAGAAGTGTCATTGGTTTGTAATTATCAAAATATTCATATGAAATTCTGACTGTACTGCCTTATTCATCGTGACATGTCTCAAATCTTGTCAAGAAACTTTTTATGCCAGAAGTTAGCTAAATGACAGATGACAGTTACCAAAGAAATGTTGGTAGCTTGGAATTATTTTTAAAATGTCCTTTTACTCAGGCCTGCCCCCTTGCCCCCTGGTCGTTCCGCCGTCCCTGTTGCAACCTATTTTCGTTCACAGACATCCCCGATACCTTTGCGAGACCCTCACTGATCTAAAAAAAACTGGATCGCGCATCTATTGTTCTAAAAGTGCGGCCGCTGAGAAATCGCAGCGGCCATGCTCTTGTGACCACTTTTGCAGACTTGTGGTCTTGTTTACTACGAGGAAATGCCGGTTCGGACAAGTAAAGTCGAAGTTTCTGTCGTCAAATAGTGGCAAAGGTGGGTAAATCTAAATATATATGAGCGTAAAGGACCATCAAATTATTAAATGTTCCATTTTATGGAGGGTAAGGCATCTTGGTTCTCTATTTCTTGTTGCTTTACGGATAGCCTACACTTTTAGGCCTATTATTAGTAGGTGGATTGAAATTCGAAAACAGAAATCAAACTAAGGTAAATCTAAATAAACATTTTTCTTTCGTTGTTGGCACTCAAAAACAGTAATTAGACTGTTTCCTAAACTCAAGTCTCCACGGAGAGTCCAACGATGCAAATATATTTATTCGAATCAGCAGGCAAGTGACTATATGACTAGCTACCTTTTACTTATTTGATCAAATTAGAGCCGTAAATTGCCATGAAAAAGCCACGTAGCAGCGATAATTACATAGAATATAAGTAGCTTTTATATGTAAAAGTTAATTTTAGTTGTTTCTCTGATAGGATATAACCCCCAAAAACATCTTGGGAGCAACCCCAGTGTAGTACTAAGTTTCTTGTAGATAGAAAATATGTTTAATTTGTGTAGCTGCTCTTTCCAGACAAGTCTAGCCGTGATTTCAAACCTCTAACTTTTTGTGCCCCTCTACATTGTTTAAGCAATACATTTTACATTGAAATGATGTGATATGAAACATGCTTACATTCAAGTGAATCACTGCTTGTACTATGTTTGTGACTTAGGACTAATTGAAGAGTTATATCATATTCCTCTGAAAAATAAGCCTTAAAGAATATGCCTGGTTGTACTTTTGAATCAAAATTTTAATATTACCTCTGACAAAGCTTTTCTTTATTTTGCAGAATAAAGTGCAATTGAATGGCTTGACAGCTATTGAGGGATACAATCATATATAGTTTACTGAGCTAGAACTTCATAAGTAACAGATATTACAATGAATAGTAATTAAAAGATTGTGACTTTGTTTCAAATGAATTTTAAGATTGTGATTTAAAAATTTGAGGTTTTTGAATTTGTTATGTATACAGCTCTTTGAGAGATATTGAGAGATAAATCCTTCATATTTCAGAGATAAATCCTTCTGCCCTGAGACAAAAGCTATGAGTGACAACACTTTTATGAACTGAAGACTAATACGGTTCATAAAAAAGGCTTACTACAGCAAAACATTTGATTACATTGGTAATTTTGTTCTAGAAATAATCGTAGATTACTGCATAAAGCAGCAAAATAAATTCATTTTACTGCTAAATGTTCTAAACATATACACAATTTTTGTAGCAAACATTTGAATTTGTAAAATATGTTTGAAGAACCTCCTGAAACAATCTAAATTACTGTTTCCACTCCAAAATTAATGTTATGAATATTGCAGTTTGTTTTGCTTTAGTAAGATTCAGCTGCTAGCAACAACTTCCATTGCTTAGTCACATCATAACATCTCAGTGATTGGTTCCTTTCCAAAACTTGAAAATGGAAAACCTTTATGGTTTTATAAACAGATGTTTATTTCATTTCAAAACAAGTGGTGAAGGCACATGTCTTTGTCAATCCACCAAGTCAAAGATGCACACAAGTTGCTCTACCTAGAAAATAAAATATAAAAGTATTTTTCGTGTATCTATTAGCCTGCGCCTTTATAGATCTGATACATTCTTCTATGAGGCAGTCCCACATTTCAATTTTTCCATCGGGAAACAAAGATTAGGCCTAGTGCCATGTAAAAAATTATTACTGAATTCATTAACATTAACTATAGCAATCTATTTGGGTATCTAAAACCAGGCAAGACTTTCCAAATAGCTACCTACTTCAAAGTAACTAACTGTAGCAATCTATTTGGGAAACTAAGGCCCCGTTTACACTGCCACAGATGACTTGTTGATCCGTATCAAAAGTGATACGGATTGGCCTCCCGTTTACACCACTCCAAGCTATCCGTAGCAAAACTAATACGGCTAACCGTATCACTTTTGATCCTTTTAGCAAAAGGATTTGAATTGGTCCAGACTCGTGAAAACCCAGTTTAAAGGGGGCATAACTGTACCTAAGAAATACAACGATCTTGGCCTACTAAAATAAAAATAGTAGTGTACTCACGGTGAAAAAGTGGAGCGTAGCTCCCTTTTTATTTGCAATCCTTGATTCTCATGGTCCTTGTTGTCATTTATTCCCTTTTCATCGTCAGTTCCCTATTTCGCATTTCTTACAGGCAAAATAAATGCAGCGAATATCTAATTCTCCAGCATCCTAGCTATTCATTTTCCCGCTGAAGTGGTCACAAGCGCATGGCGCCGATTGAAATTCGCCGGCCGCACTTTCTAAGGTTTGAGAACAATAGGATGCGCGATCCAGTTGAGACCCTCTGTTTGTATAGCCTGCGTGCAGACTCAGAAATTGAAGTCTGCGCCGCAGGCTAGTAAAAAACCTGCAATGATTTTAGGGCAAAGCACTCTGGGATCGCGGGTTTTATGTAATTTTACTGAAAGTCCACTGGGATTGAAGCAATCTGATTGGCTGGTTGACCGGAGAAGGCAAGGAAGTGAAAAACGTTCGATGACCGGCAGTCACTGCAGCTGGCGAACTCGAAGAGGTCGAAAAAGTTACAGACGTTTAATCGCTACAATTTCGATGGTAAATGTCAACCGCCATGCCATGTACAAACTCGACTGTCGTTCATATGATTGCTGGAGGGTAAGATTTGTTACCCTATTTGTTGAAATGTGATAAATTTCCCTCGTTTAAAATCCACATAAGGGTTAGGCCTGAATTATTTTCCGATATTTGCTACTATTCCGCCTGTCACAAGAATCGGTTTGTTTTTAATTTTGATTGTATGAATTCTTTTCTTTTATAAAAATATAACAGTGGTGAAATTCGTTATAATCCCAATACATAGTTCGAACTTCAATTTCATTTTCTATTTTGATTGTGAATTGAAAAGATTTCGGTTTATTTTGATTTCCCTTTCATCAATCTATTTGATTAGCCGTGTCAATTACTTCTTTCTCGGGTATTTTCACGAACTTTAACGTGTTTTTCGTCTGCCAGTATTCGTTTCTATGTCATTTTTGCAAGCTTTATCTTTTGTATGGAATCATATCATATTGCCCATATTGGTTCGCACATTCACCAAAAATACTGATTATATCTACGTCCCTTTCACTTTTAAAGATAAATTTTATATACATCCCTATCATTAAAAATAAACTATTTATATGTTTCTTCCTTATCTATTCTAAGTCACGACATTTTGGTCTGGCGACGTGAAACTATGTTGAATCTGAATGCAATTGTCAATCAGATTGACTCCTGCTGTCTCAGCATGTTTTTGGACATTTTGGGCTTCTTTAACATCTTGCTTTCAATTCAAACCGGCATATTTCCAGACCATCTCCTAACTAACAACAACCAGAGATTAGACAGCGATCGCAACAGTCTTCTAGCCTACAATTTAAATATGTTATGTTGTTATGTTGTGGTACGTATATATTGTGTACCAGCAAATATCGCCGACAAAAAGGATTCGCAGCGCTAGCCTTATGAAATGATGAACCCTAGTTTCTTGCAGCAGTTTTCGTATTATGCAAAATTAAAAACAATATTTCGTTATTTATTTTACAGGATTGGTGGTACCTCCGGTGCAATAATTACATGTCCATTAGATGTTTTGAAAACAAGACAACAGTCATCGATAGCCGCGTATGACTTGCAAAGAATTCCAGCCGAGAGAACTCTCATACAAAACAGTGCACTCCGTTTTTCATATTCACACGCAGCTGTTCACAGTGAAGCAACTGCCTTGATCCAAGTGAAACCTGGAATGCTCTACTGTTTAAGGTAAAATTAATTGAAAATCAAACATAGTTTAAATGTCTCAAGCTTAAAGTTTAAATTTTTTTTCAAACATTCAATTCATAAATGCTTACAACCCCATTCCCTCATTGTTTTGCTCAACAACTAAATTTTGTCCTAGGAATGTGTTATGTAAAATAAACCTAAATGCTTGCAGTATCATCTCGCTATGTGTTATTATTTGTCATATGTCTTAAGGTTTAACAGACCTTTTACGTTATTTGTAGGATACAGCTTTATTTTCTTTCCCTATTAAATTTTAAAATTATTTCATCGTAGAAAAATTGTCCAAGAAGAAGGGGTGAGAGCACTATTTAAAGGTCTTGCTCCTCACCTTGTTGGTGTCACTCCATCAAGGTAAGGTTTTAAACCCTTATTTGAAGAAATTTCACCAACATTTAATAACATATATATATTTTACTGCATTTTTCTTCTCTCAAGTATTACATGCCTTTGCAAATCCAGAACTTGTGTCACTCCTTGGATTTCGTTATGGCGGGACCATGTAATTAGACTCAGTTTGGTTACCAACTATTAACAATTGAACACGAGAAAAAATGCCAACGCTATGCCCTGGGTGCTCCATAGGCAAAGCCTCTACAAGACTTTTAATGTAATTAATATGTGCTTCTACTGATTTGTACTTTAACTTCTATTGATTTGTACAATACATCTCAGTTGGTAACATCAGGTTTAATTTTTCTGGGATATCGTTGGTAAACTCTAGAAAGGTTATAAATTTGAATAAATAATGCAACTATTTTTATTATGCTTTGGTTCCCTAAAGTGATCATGTCAGGCAATTATTATCCATTTGTTTAAAAATTCTGTTTGTTTGGTTATAGGGCAATATATTTCTCAGTTTATGCAAAAACAAAGCGAAATATGAGGTCCCTTGGAGTTGTAAATAAAGACAGTTTGCTTATCCCTCTGACCGCTGGTGCAGCTGCTGGTAAGTGTTCTATATAGTTTTCCTGATTTGTTTTTTTGCCAGATAATTTGTAAAGGGATGTAAAAACTTCTTCACATCTGCACTTGAGAAAAGATTCTTACCTTGAGGCCTAGTTTTGCAATCAGCTCTTCAATTGTTCCAAGTTGGTAGGCAGAACCAAAATGACGTAGAACTAGTTTCTGTAGAGCAGCATGTGTATAATGAATCATAAAGAAATTAAGTACATATATACAGATCAATTTATAACATACAAGAAGGCTAGAAAGATCTTTGTTGATTCAAGATGGGCTGCTACTTAAAAGCGAGATGTTATTAGTGATAAATAAGAAAAGTTGTAAAGAATGAAAAAATGTTTAATAATCAAAGTTTAGCAGCCCTGGCTAAAATTATGCAAAATGCTTTGGTTGTTGATGTATGTCAGGAAGTAGGCAAAGTTTCAAGAAATTAATGGGAAGTTATCTAAACCACAACATTACCTAACATGTATAAACTGTCTCCAGGATGTTAGGCACCTAAATATTGCAACTTTCATAAGAAAGAATCATTTGTTTAATAGAGCAGCATGAAGATGGGTATGAACTATTGCCTGCCTATTGCCAGGCCCAATTAGGTCATCACTAAACTAGATTCTCTTGACTTTAGTGCATTGAAGTTTTCACATCTCTTTCTTGAACATGTCTCAATAAATTATAGCACTTTTGGAAAAGTCTTCCTTCTAGATGAACTTTTTACAAACTTTTTGGTGATTAAAAGCCAAGATACATAAAGAATAGTTATCCTGTCAATTTTCCGTAAAAAAGTCAAATTATAAAAGCAAGAATGCTGAATCTTTACTTTTTCATTACACAAATATATATCTAAACTTTTGTTGGAAAAAACAGATTTTGTTAAGTTTGGTTTAAAAAATCTAATTTGGTCTTTCATTCCTTGCTTTTAGTAGTCTTTGTAATTATGTCTTTATAGCAAGCAACTTTTAAGAACCCAAGCTGCATTGCTTATGCAGAAGGCAATTCCTTTGCATCGCTAGACATTGATTTGTTTTTGAATTTCTAAAATTTGTCAATACAAGGATTAAAATTTCTTCTTTCCACCATTGAAATTGAATCTATTTAGGCCTCTGTTTAACATTCTTAACCATTGGTGGATTACCTGCATTTGTTTTGTCAGATATAAGAAAAAATTTGATGCACAGAATGTTTTCAGATGAAAGCAAACAGAAACTTTTGTTTTCATGCCTCTTTCTGAAAACTAAACGTAATGAGTAGGCCACAAATTCTTAAGATGGTCTACTCAGCACTAAATGGGTGAGGCATCATTTTTAAGATTTATCTGTTTCATGTTGTTATTGAATCTAATTTTGTTTTTGAATTCTCCCTACCAGTCCATTGAACCATGTCAAGTTCACATTAAACCTCAACCTTAGTAACAGAACAGCTGCACTCATGATCCCAAATAGAGCTGCCCATGTTTGGAATTTTTAAGACCTGAGAATTCTAGCATGCTAACAACAGCTAGCTGGTTTCTTGTTAGCTACAATGCCAAAACATTCAGGCAGTCAACAGCCTGCAGTTTTCTTTTATGAATGCTACTGGTAATTAACCTCCAAATAAAGTGAGGAACAATCAAACATTTCAATTTCTTTTCGGGTCAGGAGAGATGTATCTAATCTCTTCAAAAACTTGTGAAAAAGGACTTTTCTATAAGGAACTTACAAATAATTGTGTTGGGGCTTGGTAGCAGTAGCACTTTTCTCTTGTGAACCCCCTGTCACATAGCAACATATAAACCAATTTCATGCAGGAGAATGCAAGAATCAAAAGCATATTTTAGTTGTATTAAAAACTTTCTTGTGTTTGATTGTTAATTTCCAAAGCCAAATTATTCCTGTAGCAACCCAAACTAGGATCCCCTAAACTTTTGTCTAATTTTTGAAATATTACTTTGATGTGTTCTCTCTAATATACCCATTTTCTAAAATTGTCCCATCCTCTAAGTATATTCAACCTTAAAATCATCAAAAGTACTTTGTGTATTCCATACTTTTCAACATTTCCCCGACCTTGTTGCTGTTAGTAACAAATATTCTTTGCAAGAAACTCAGAACTAAAAAATCATTCCTTCTTTTCAACACCATTTAAAAATACTCTGAATATTAGAGAGAACACAAATTGATAAAAAATATTTTTGAATAAATACACCATGTCATACTTTGAATTTCTTGTAGTGTGCCCCCAGGGTACCTAGCTACAATAGCTACACAGGGTACCTAGCTATCGCGGATGGCTAGTTCTCACAAGGATGCTTGGGTGCCTTGTTTAAGGCATGTCAAAGAAAGAAACAAAATGCGGTAGTGTAAGAATCATCATTTGGCCACCCTATACCTCCTGTGCTCTATGTTACACTTTTATTGCAAAAATATATCATTGTCATCTATGTCAAGATCACATCCTTCTTATTTGTACTGTAAGTTGGTTTTTGTAGCCAATTGAAGAGGTGAGGAACAGATAATTCTGGTAAAGTTAGGAGGGCAGGAGGTATCGGAGAAGCCATATTTATGTGGATTTCTTTATATGTAATCTGCATAATATTAGGGATAAGGTCATGATCCAAGCTGAGTTTTGTTATCCACTCATTCTTATCCTCTAAACGCATAGGAATGATTTTTAAGCAGCTCATAAGCAACTTGGTAAACAAGGCTAGGTGATCAACCATGCAGCATTCTCCGTGACGTATTCCTTTCTCTGCTTATTTCACTGCAGCCAGAGAGCTGGGGAAGAAATAAGCATCTTTGGGCATTGGAAATTTTTGTCGAGGGACCACTTGTAGTTGTTTGTATAGGCAGCCTCCTAATCCTGTATTTTAAAGAATGCGCAAAGTAGCATCCACTTTGTTGGGCTCTGTACCTTCCACTCCCCTCCCACTCCCTTCCCACTCCATCTTTTTAATCAGTTCACTCATTCCCCAGCCCCTTCTTTTTCCTTTGCCACCTGAGTGAACGCTGTTTAGGTGGCAGTTTGATTCAAGTGAGTTTGAATGTTGTTTGTGAAAATCTTATCGCTATCGTCTCTAATGTGCATTGATGATGTTCAATTGGTAGCAAGGTCGTTGTTTTTAAGTTAAAAGTTTGAAAGTGACGATACACATGAATGCCAAGAGGCATATCGTCTTGTTTTCCGAAACTATTATTGTCAAGACATGCTTTGTGGGTACGATCTGCATTGAACCGCATTTTAAGCCTTTTGGTGCTTGTTGCGCAATGGTTCAAGGTCCAAGCTGCCCTGATTTTCTCAAGCTGTCGTGGTTTTCTATGCAAAAGGCTGAAAAGTTGAAAAACTCGGAAGATATTTTGGTGAAGTTTTCGTTAGTGATGATATGAAAGATTTTTTCGGTTGATTTAAAACATTTTTGGGTTGATGTTTTATTTAATTGAAACAATACTTTTATGCTGCCATTGTTTCCCGTTTAAAATTTGTCATTTTGACAGAAACAAATGTGGCTAACCTCAGCCTTGAGAAAATTTTGTTTGTGTCCAGTCAGATACTGAAGGTTTTTCTACCCATGCCAGTGCCGCTTGTCCTGCAGAGTGCTGCAGAGTGTGATGCTACGCGTCCCCCGGCTGTTTGCCCCCATTCTAACCCTTTTTTCCAAGAGGCGCCAGCTGACTTGAAGGATACCGGCACGGGAGACTGCTGCATGGATAGGCAACTTAGACTACAAATGGACTAAGCTACCGTAAGGCTCCCAAACTGTGCAGCTATAGGTCTTCCCAAATCAACCTTTGAGAAACAGTTACCACTTGTTTAAATCGGCTCATTTTTTCGATTTAAGTTTATTGACTTGACTGTTCATAACTTTGGGCTTGTACAAACCCCTTCCAACTTCCGGCCGATGTCCTAAATTGCAACTCTGATTGGTATTAACAGTACAATGTTTCACCATTAAGGAGGCCTTTCAGAGACAACAATTAAATGTTTTTCGTGATGATAAATCGTGTTGCATTGTATCGGGGGACTCCTCGCGATATCGTGAACATCCTCAAGCATCTGTCATTGCCACATGAATTAAAGCCATCCTGATAATTCTTTTTTTTGTTTGGTCTGTCCGAATCCTTCACAAGATGATTCCTGGTTCACAATATACACCAGTTTTTGAGTTGCAATTTTTGGCATTACCCCTGCAGTTTCATCTAGTTTGACAATCGAGTAATTTAAATTAAGTTTAACCTTTATTCCTTGATTTATTAAGCAATTGGGCGGACTAATGTTATTGTTCATAGAGACTGTTCTCATAGACCCGCTTCATCGTCATTTTGCAGAGTAAACTAAATTTTTTTAACTTTTCCAGTCATATGGAAAATGAAACATTCCCAAAACGTAGTAATCACACTACATATGCGTCGATACGCGTCCAACAAATGACAAAAGCAGCGGGAACAATGTGACCAGTCTCTATTGCCATTCAGAAGATCTCGATGAAGAATGTTCTTTCTGATTTCTTTTCAGGATTTTGTTCCACCACTGCAACTTGCCCAATTTGGGTACTAAAAACAAGACTTCAACTAGATAAAAGGTATTTTCAGATAAAATTTCGTTTTACATTATGAATGTTCCACTTTAAGGACCTGTGATATGACGTTAAACCAGTGGTCAAATATTGTGCAATACAATAACCTTTTTGTGAAATGTAGAAAAGTCTTCATAAACACTTTTTAAAATATTGATGTGCCTTATGCAGAAGAGTAGTTCTGCTAATGGCATTTTTTGAATCCAACATGTAACATTAGCATATGGTATTAATCACGTTTCTTTGTTCATCTTTCCAAAGGCGCCGAGGAGCCACTTTACGAGATTGCATAGCCAGGACATATCAGACAGAAGGTATTCGCGGATTCTATCGTGGACTGTTGATATCGTATGTTGGCATTGCAGAAACCAGTATACACTTTCTTCTATACGAACAAATGAAAGCATACCTGCGGCCATGCGGCACTGACGCTGATGAGAACGGTAAATGTTTGGGCGACTTTGCGCAATTCATGGTAGCTGCAAGTCTTTCAAAAATCATATCTTGTACATCAATGTACCCACATGAAGTGGTGAGGACTCGCTTGAGACAGCCTGTTGTAGATGGAGTGAAAAAATACCGCTCAATGTTACAGACTTTGCGTTTGGTTGCCGTCGAAGAGGGTATTCGTGGTTTGTACGGGGGACTTACAACCCAAGTTATCCGTCAGATTCCAAATACAGCAGCAATGTTTGTTACTTATGAGCTTGTTGTTAGCTTTTTCTGTAATTAAGATGTATATTGTAATCTATAATTGTACATACTTCTTTTATGATGAATATTTAACGTAGCGAAAGCTTTTCAAAATCAGCAAGGTCTCCAGCAGTTTAAGCAATGATTCTCTGAACTTTAAGTGTCTTTAGAGTTGAGATTGACAAATGTAGGGAAAACTATTCCTATTAGAAGAATTTCAGAAAATATTCCTTAATTGTCGCTTTATTGATCTTCCGTTATGGACATGAATACGTTTATTTCATGTTCTGTTTGTGTTTTGTCAAAGTTAGTGTTTGTTCGAGTTTTTAATGTAGTCTATTTTATTTCCAATTCCTGTCTCACATCATCAAAAGATCATTTTTCGACTCTTTTGTCTTTTATAAAAACCTACCCATTACTCGAAATTATAATTATCAAATATTTTTAGACTGATGAAATTTCAAAACTGAGCTTTTTCTGAAAATGCCCTGATATTTTCATACATTCTTGAAAAGGGGTCAGGTACAGTGTTGATCATACGTGATCATATGTTTTTAAAGTACCGTGTTGATCATACGTGGTGTGCATGTAATTTATCAATAGAATCGGGTTGTCTTGAACGACAGCACCTTTAGGTTTGCAAATTTCCTAGTGGAATTTTATTGTTCTGTACTAAATAAGCATCAAATTAAAGCGTCTTAATTTTTTGTACGTTATTGTTGCAAGATTGATTTAATGGCTACTGAAGTCATGGATTTTTTTAACAGCATCTACCCTGAAGATGCGTACTTCCTCTAGCGGCGGCTACGTATCCGAAAAGTGAAGGGTGCTTTGTCGCAATCACTTGCGCTCGTTATAAAGCTTTTTGCTCGGCCTTAGTAGTTGAGGTTTGGATTTTACTGAGGAAACAAGTGAATCGCGAATGGTTCGAAACTCAGCTTTAACCTAAAATGATTGTCTTAAATCAATTTTCGTAATTCCCTCATACTTATTTTTATCTTCTCATAACTGATGTCCACTTGCTGGTCTCTCCATTAATTCAAATCGCTGCACTCTATTCCCTGCACTCTATTTCCAATAAAAGTTTCTTTTTAGTTGTAAATCCTTTACATCAATGTATAATGCTTCCAGAACTCTTAACATTTCCACATGTTTTACTTTATGAAATGCCTTGCTGTAATCAACGAAACATTGATATCAGTTTTTCGCACTTTCAGCCAGCATTCTTCAAACATAAATTGCCTCCCTACTCCCCTTTTCTTCGATGTATGCATTTTGTACTTGTGGTATCTCTTGCCTAATCTTGGATTTCATTCTGTTAAGTAAACTTTCAGGATTAATTTTGTTATATTGAACAAAAGGTCCTGTGGAGTTCACGTAATCCAGGTTTTTTAGGGAGAGCTAAAAATACTGATTTGCTTAAGTTGGAAGACAACCGTGTGTGGTATATCGTGTTTCTCATTTCAGTTACTTTTCGAACTCAAAAACCTTCTAATTCTTTTACCAGCTCGAAAACGATATTATCTGTTTCTGTTGCCTTTCTTTTTTTCAGCGTACTGAACTTCTTTTTTCATTATACTTTGTCCCTCAAATTCTTTTCTGATTATGGGTTTTTCTCCTCTGTCAACTCCAAGATATAGTAATGAAACTCCAAATATATTAATTCTTAATAAAACATTCTAAAGGAATTGAAAATGTTTGAAAAAGTTTCAATTTTTGTCATTTTTTGTACTTGGTAAAATGACAAATTTTCGAGTCTAATTCTTTTATATAAAATACATAATAGCAAAGCCTAATGTTTATTTTAATTCTTGAAAACCATTTAAAATTATCAAAAGATCTGCAAGTGTCTTTAGAAGCTTCCATTTTTCTCATTTTTTGTACCAAATCCAAAGACCATATAGCCTTGGTGAAATGACAGACTCTTGATAAAACTATATAGCAAGGCTTAATGTACATTCAAATGTTTTAAAACATCTATTTCAACATTCTTAAAGGATCTGCAAATGTTTTTAAAAGTTTCAGTTTTTGTACCAAAGCTGTTGGTAGAATGACAAATTTTCGATGATTATTTTTTTTCATAAAAACCTTTATAGCAAATAATAATGTAAATTTTTATTCTTGAAAACAATCTCAAAAGATCTGCAAGTATTTTTAGCTTCCATTTTTGTCATTTTTTGTACCAAATCCAAAGGCTATTGCCTTGGTAAATAAAAAATTTTCAATAGCAAATTTTTCCATAAAAATCATTATAACAACGCCTAATATGTATTTTAATGTTTTAAAACATCTTTTTAAACATTCTCAAAGGATCTGCAAATGTTTTCAAAAGTGTCCATTTTTGTCATTTTTTGTACCAGATCCAAAGAGTATTGCCTTGGTAAATAAAAAATTTTCAATAGCAAATTTTTCCATAAAAATCATTATAACAACGCCAAATATGTATTTTAATGTTTTAAAACATCTTTTTAAACATTCTCAAAGGATCTGCAAATGTTTTCAAAAGTGTCCATTTTTGTCATTTTTTGTACCAAATCCAAAGAGTATTGCCTTGGTAAATAAAAAATTTTCAATAGCAAATTTTTCCATAAAAATCATTATAACAACGCCTAATATGTATTTTAATGTTTTAAAACATCTTTTTAAACATTCTCAAAGGATCTGCAAATGTTTTCAAAAGTGTCCATTTTTGTCATTTTTTGTACCAAATCCAAAGAGTATTGCCTTGGTAAATAAAAAATTTTCAATAGCAAATTTTTCCATAAAAATCATTATAACAACGCCTAATATGTATTTTAATGTTTTAAAACATCTTTTTAAACATTCTCAAAGGATCTGCAAATGTCAAAAGTGTCCATTTTTGTCATTTTTTGTACCAAATCCAAAGAGTATTGCCTTGGTAAATAAAAAATTTTCAATAGCAAAATTTTCCATAAAAATCATTATAACGACGCCTAATATGTATTTAAATGTTTTAAAACATCTTTTTAAACATTCTCAAAGGATCTGCAAATGTTTTCAAAAGTGTCCATTTTTGTCATTTCTTGTACCAAATCCAAAGAGTATTGCCTTGGTAAATAAAAAATTTTCAATAGCAAAATTTTCCATAAAAATCATTATAACAACGCCTAATATGTATTTAAATGTTTTAAAACATCTTTTTAAACATTCTCAAAGGATCTGCAAATGTTTTCAAAAGTGTCAATTTTTGTCATTTTTTGTACCAAATCCAAAGAGTATTGCCTTGGTAAATAAAAAATTTTCAATAGGAAAATTTTCCATAAAAATCATTATAACAACGCCTAATATATATTTTGATGTTTTAAAACATCTTTCAGAAACATTCTTATAGGATCTGCCAGTGTTTTTAAAAGTTTCAGTTTTCGTCATTTTTGTACCAAACCTTGGTTAAATGACAAATTTGGAAAGAAAGAATTTTGCCTCAAATGAGGGTAGTTTGGCAAAGCGTGGAATTTAAAATGTCTAATGATTCTCCCCACCTTTGAAAAGAGCCTCCTTATGCAGTGGCTGCGCCAAGGGGTGGTATGGGGGGTTAATTACCCCCCCCCCCCACTTTTCTGAAAATTTGGTCTACATATTTCTTCTAAAATGGATTATAAAACGCTGGGTAGGGGTAGATCAAATTTCCTAAGGAAAATTAACTTTGTACAAATCACTGAAACGAGGCAAAAGGGGCGTGGTCCCACTGGCCACGCCCGTTACCCTCCCACTCTGTAATAGCTGGCGCCGCCTCTGTCCGTATGTTATAAGAAGTTTTATTTCTTGTTAGATAAAGGCCAAAATCACTGTTAAAGCAATTGTACAATGAACAGTTTCTGTAAGAAAACGTTTAGCCATATGAATAATTCTAAATCAAATGCATAGACCACTGATGGGGCATGTAAATAAGTCTGAAAATTGGTTTTCGAAACTTTTTCTCAATTAATTTCGTCTCGAATCGTTGTAGAGTCTAAAAGTGGAATTAAATTGTAAAAAAAACCTTTTATAAGGAATTTTCCTCCCAATCGAAAAATGTCAGTTTTTTTGCAAAATCAAAGACCATGATCCTGGTTGTGTAACCTAAAGATGGATTTTGCTAGTAGATAGATAGATTAGTGCGATCGAACGTTTAATGAAATAATTCTAACCATTCTTTTTGATCCACTAAAATATTGCTCCATAACTTTTAGAAGCTGACTTAGGAGACAATATTCATCAAAAAAGGCTTTAGAAGAGTTTGTAAATTGTTTGTTATGAAAATTATTCTTTTACATTTCGTTATTTTCAATAACTTTGAAACAGAAAGTCTGTTTATTTATATCCGTGCAAGGTATTGGTATGAAATAAGGCAGTGTATAGAATTTTGATTGTTAGTTTTTAATGCAAGCAAATGTTTTCAAAGTTCTATATTCGAAAAATCTATTTGAGTATTTTGTTTAGCCAGTGCTCAGGCACAGTGTTTGAGATTTCGTGTTTCTGGGGAGATTTTTGAACGCAGTTCTATTGAAAAGGACTTAATTTCATTAGCTTTCCTTCCGTATAAGGTAAATAGTAAATGGGTTTAAAGAGGTGGGGTCTTCATTTATAGTCTGTTGGTTTCAAAAGCACTCTCGTTGTCATCCAATAGTTGATAAAGTATCTGTTTTCTAGTTCCAACTTGGGTGGCTCACAAAAGGATAAAAAACTTGATTATTGAGTAATGCAATTTGCGTCTGTTGCCAGAAGCTACGCGCATATACTTCGATTCACCGAAAAGATAAAGGGCAGATGGACAACTATCCGCGGTATCTGTGTTGTTTTCTCGACGTGAGGAGAACATTTGTCGCTTGGTCAGCCTCGTTTCAAGGAAGAGGCGATAACCTATACAGACGATTAGATCATTCCTTTTCAAAATTTTGTGGAGCGAACAGCAATTGGTTAGATGTAATCTGTAACGAAAGGCATCCTTCGCTATTATCACACCAAAATTTGCCTTGGTTGATCTTCTTCGCGATGACAAATTGTTTAGCCTCGAATACATTCGCACATGTCAAGATTTCGATATGGCAAAATAGGCAAACTTACCGAACTAAAATGTGCCAGGGCCAAAGAAGAAATGACTAATAAACAATGTGAGGAATTGGAAGATCTTTTACAGAGGGACCAACAACTTATGTATAGCAGGATTAAGCAAATGACAAACCAAAGAGAAAGAGCGAAAATACTGCTATCAAAGATAATAAAAATGTGGAAAAGTATTTTTGAGAAAAAAGAACAAGTTTTAAATAGATGGGTAGAATATATTGGGGAATTATTAAATGATGATAGACCTGAGAATAAACCAGAAATATCATCGGCTGAACGGACAGGTAAAAACATACTAAAACCAGAAATTGAAATAGCCATGAAATCTATGAAAAACGGCAAAGCTACTGGAAACGACCAGATATCTAAAGAAATGATTGGGGCGTATGAGGGCTTTGGAACAGACAGAATATAAGGGCTTGCCAGCCAAATCTATAATACTCTAAAAATCCCGAGACAAATAAAGGAATCAGTGTTTATAACAATACTTAAGAAAGGCGATCCTTCAATCTGCAATAACTACTTAATATAACAATGACTAATTAATATAAGGAGTCATATAACAAAGGTTGGGCTGCGTGTTGTTATGAACAGAATTCGAGAGAAAATTCACACTGAAGTATCATACGACACAACTTGGTTTTAGAAAGCATAAAGGAACAAGAAACGCTATTTTTGTTATG